TCTGTTCCTGTCCTTCCTTTCCAAACGATTGGAAACTCACAGGACAGCAGTCTGACACTAAAGCATGCTTGTAGTTAGTTTTGAAACAAAGTTGAAGGCTGGGGTTGTGGCTCAGTGGTAGAGCACTTGCAGGAGCAAGTAGATTAAATAATAAAGATCCATTGACAACTAAAAAAATATTAAAAAAAAAAAAAAACAGTTGAAATGCTTCTCTGTTACACACCAAAAGCAGTTTCTCGCCTGCGTGGCCTCCCGCAAAGAGGCCAGCTCTACAAACAGCTTAGCAAGTACCCCTCCCGTCATCCATGCAGAGTGTGCCCCCTTCCCACCCAGGTAGAAGGGATACACAAGGCCCTGCATCCATGGGGTGGAGAGCAGTGTCCAGTCAACAGGGAAATAGATGCACAGGTGTTATGTTGTCACCTTGTGGATAGAGCCACCAAGCCAGGGAGACAGGCTGGGCAGGCAGCGGCCGAGGCTAGGTGGAGAGAAGGCTCCCCTGGGCTTCCAGGGCTCAGAACCTCGTGGCTCCTTCCCAGCTGCCTGGCCTGGAGCCTCACCGTGTGGTTCCCTGGGCTGGGAGGGAAGGAGGGCTGTGCCGGCGGAGTGGAGACGTGGTGCTGCCCATCAGGGATTGTCTACCAGCCAGCAAGGGCGGGGCACTGGTGGCCTCGGCAAGGACCTGCCAGTGGCTGGAGCAAGGACAGCTGTGGGCAGCAGTGAGGAGGCAAAGGCCTTGGGACTTCACTCTAAAGGGAGCAGAATCTAAGAGAAGTGGGTGGGCCCTGGGGTGGAGGGAGGGAGACAGTCCAGCCACCTGGTGCCCTGCGTGGGGACAAATGCCGGAGCCGAGGCCCTGCGTCAGCAAGCAGGCGGGTGCAGCTCGCAGGCCTAGGAGGTCCAGAATGGGGGACTGGGGCTGGCATGGCAGGGCGCTTGCTTCTGGTTGATGCTTTTCTTTTGTCTTCGTAGTGAAAAGTGAGGCTGGGGGCAGCTGTGGAGGAGGGTGTGTGAGGAGCGAGGACGTGGCCACGGGAAGGCAGGGGAGGGATTTCCTGCAGAGGTGTGGTGAGACTGGTGGACAGCCAGGGCCCCAGAGTGGAGGCGGGTCAGCATGCTCCCCTGGCCCTGGCCCAGTTGCAGGTACAGATTCTGAGGGCTAAGGAAAGTCAGGTGACCTGGTCTGGAAAGATGGAGGGAGAAGGAATCTGAGCTGAGTTTGAAGGGCAGGTTTCAAGTCGTGTGTGGCTCTGGCCCCTCTGGGTGTGGGAAGATGGGGTGTCAGGCTGTGAAGACCCCAGGGGTCCTTAGATGAGCCTGGGTGCTAGTGTGGTGGGTGTCCTGCTGTGGGCAGCCCTGGGGGATGACCACAAGTGACGGCAGCTGAGGTCTGGGGAGAAGAGAGCTTGACTAAGGAGGACAGAGGCCACCTAGGAGGACAGAGCTGTTGTCACAGGTGAGGACAGGGTAAGCTGCTGCAGTGGTCCAAGACATGACCTGGGCTCTGTGGGAACAGAGCAGGCTGAGGGGCAGACGCTCATGAGGGACCCGGGGTTGAGGGGAAGGAGGATGCTCGCTTTTTGGTACGTGGGTGGGATTCACAGTGCCATCACCTGGGAGGCGCGTCCCCTCGAGAGCCAGGCTTTTAGTTGGCACAAGGTGGAGCGGGCCTTCCAAAAAGAGACCACCAATGGGTGGTGGTTTGCACTGACCGAATATAAGCCCAAGGACAGAGTGTGAGAGGGTGGAGACTGGAAGATGAGTCACCGTCCCCGGGGATTCTCATTACTGACATTGGACAGGGTGGTTCTTTGTAGGTGGCCGTCCCTCCTGCCCATAGGGCATTTTCCTCATCTCAGGGATCAGCCCTTGGCACCTGTAGCACCTCCACTCTGCTCAGTTTGATAACCCAGAATATCTTCAGCTGCCAGGTGCAGTGATACAGTCACCCTGGCTACGATGAAGGCTGAGGCAGGAGAATGGCAAGTTTGAGGCCACCCCAGCCACTTAGCAAAACCTGGTCTGAAAAAATTTTTTTAAGGTTTGGGGGTACAGCTCAGAGGTAGAGCACTCCTGGGTTCAATCCTAGTACTGCAGAAAGAGGGAGGGACAGAGTGTTTTCATTCATTGCCAACTGAGAGGGCATTCCTAGCCGAGCACCAGTGGTTTGGGAGCATTCAGAGCCACTGGGGACAGATCTCAGCTATCAAAGGTCCACCGGAAAAACAGGGAGACAAAGGAAGTGCTGATGGGGCTGGCCCTGGTGGCCTCCTGGTGAGAGGGTGGCATCATCTCCATACAGTCTCTCTCCCGGAAGCCACTTGCTGCCGCCCTCCTGGTGTGCCAGAGTCCCTTCCTGAACTGAGTATTCCAAGACCCCAAGAAGACGGAAGACGAGATGGCCAGGTTCTTGTCGGTTGCCTTGGAAAAGGCTTTCTGCAGCCCGAGGGTACTGCCTGGAAGACACGTTCATCTTGATTCCCAGCCAGGCGAACTCTAAGCATGACGTGCTAGTGACTTTAAGGTCCCCGCAGAGCATCCTGAAAGAAGCACTTTGCATGCATATAGAGAAGGAAACAGTGACTGCCCTGAACAGGGACAGTTCCTCAAAGAGGAGAAATACCTAATGGATGCCCCTTTATTGTTTTTAAATTGTCAAAAATACATGAATAGGGTACCCCTCTGCCCTTCAGCAAAGGGTTTGTCAAGATTGTCCCTTGGTTTCTTTGTGGACAAATTCAAAGGCATCTGAGCTGGACACAGAGTCAGTGTGCATTACCTGGCTCAGCAATGATTCTGAGAAGCTTCCACGTACTGATTGGTGCATCTGAAGGAGTCAGGCTGACTCTCCACCCCACCCTTTCTGTTGTTTTCATCAGCTTGGATGGATGTGGAGGTGAATGCTCAGAACGGCCGAGAACAGTAAGACAGTTGTGAAGAATAACCAGGTGTAGGCTTGGAAGGCAGCAGCTCTGAAGACCAGGTGCTCACGTAGAACACAGCTAGTGAGGAGTTGCAGAGTAGAACAGTGAGTCAAGGAATGACACTCCACACGCGGGTGGAGATCTGTCATGTGGACCCTCCAGTTACTGTGCACATTCTAGTGTCTTAGAAAGGATATTGATACGCTCTAACAAAGACAGGACCCTCCAGACAGTGGAAGGAGGGCCTGTCCTGATGCTCTTCACCACCCTGCAGGGAAGGCCAGCCCCCGATGTGGCCTGGGGAACAGGTCATGTGGCAGCCAAGTGCAGATAGTCCCAAATGTGGGCTCTACATACAGTTCAGAAAGGAGACATGGTGATTTGGGAGGGAGCCAATATTCAGTGGCAGAAGAACAGCAGGAAGGTATCAGGAGCACACTCAGCCTGGTGAATGGAGGGCACCTGCGGACAGGGTGGACTAATGAAATCGGCACCCACAGCCGCCAGGGAGGACCTGGTACTGCTCCTCCGCATCCATGACCAGCATGAGAGCAGAAGAGATTTAAAATGTGCAGTACGACTCAGCCAGGCTTGAGCACCAAGTAACACGTAGGGCTGCCTCAGGACGAAGTGAGGTCTGAGCCTCCGTACCCCAGGGCCACCGTGGCTTCAGAACACTGGAAACGGGCACAGAAATGACACGATCCAGCTCTTTCTTCCCCCTGGAGTGTCTACACTTTCACCTGACACTCAGTGGAATCAAGTATTTAAATACTTAGGCGAGAGCCACCACGTTGGAAAGCCTGGCCAGCTTTAAGCTAGAATGCAGGAAGGAGGCCCCTGGGGGTGGCCTCGAGCCCAAGGATCAGACAGCAGGTGGCTCACACGGAGAGGCCATGCACAGAGAGGGGTGACTTTGGAAAAGACTGAGCCAGGGTCTGGGCCTCCTTGAGGCAGGGGCCGAACCATGTCTGATATCAAGCTGCACGCTTCCCCCACACCTGGCCATCATAGTCCAACAGCAAGCCAGAGGGGACGTGATGCCCGCTGTCCCCTGGGTGCAGTCCCCCAGAGAGAGGCCAGGTGTCGGGCGGAGTGGAGGGTGTCAGCCTTGGGGCAGGGAGTACTGGGGGATGCTGGGTGCCCAGCTACTGTGCCAGGACCTCCAGGCAGGGATCCTGATATGGTGTCCTCAGGGATGGGTCCCATGCATCTAGAAAGTGGCTGGCCAGCAGCTGGTGCTCGGAGTCGAGACTGAGAGTACTTGAAGTAGGGCAGAGCCTTCTGTCCCTGAGGTTGTTAACCTGCTGAATCATGAATGGAGAAGGTGTCCTATCACCTCCTCCAACTTCTGTACAATTCTATGCTCTTTCCTGGTCACTTAGCATCACTTTTGACCTTCTCTTTGGTAAAGATAAAGATAGGTAATAAATTAAGAGTTTTGCTGGCAGTGAGTGATCATATGTGCACACTGGCTTTCAAACCTTTAAAAGTTGCTCCAGTGCATTAAAAACAGATGGGTCTACCTAATGGGCTTTCAAGTGCCATCGCAGGACACTGGTGGGAGAAAGGGCACACCGATTTTCACCAGTTGCAATTGGAGCTACCTTCATATGTAGTGTTGAGGAGAAGAAGGAATCAGGTCCCTCATCCTGCATGCACACAGTCAGTCCCTTAAAGGTGCACTCTCGTGCTTTCCTGGCTGTCTTCATTTCTTTCTGGCGTGTCAAGGTAATTATGGGAAAAGAGAATCAACTGAAAACCACAAGCTCACTGCTTCCCTTTGGCAGAGATCATATATTCTGCAAATGAGTTTTCAAGACTCCCATCACGCAAAGTAGAAAATTTTAAATTCTCCCAGCATGAAGGTGATGCAGAAATCGGTGCCTGCAGGTGGCCAGGGGACCATGATCTTCTCCTGCGGAGGCTCTGGGCCTCTGATCTGCAACCTCATGACTGGGCACCATGTGCAGGCCCCTGTGTGGTGCTGGAGGAGCATTGCTTGAGTGTTTTCCCCAAGTCTCCTTTCTCTGTGCTTACCTTTGCATTTTTTTGCCTTTTCCGGTCCGGTGGCAGACACAGGACTGGGTGACTCCGTGTGCTCCAGCCCCAGTATCTCCAGCTCCACCAGCCCCAAGCTCGACCCGCCCCCCTCCCCCCACGCCAACAGAAAGAAGCACCGAAGGAAGAAAAGTACCAGCAACTTCAAAGCCGATGGGCTCTCTGGCACTGCTGAAGGTAAGGTGGTCCGGGACCCCCAGAGTGACTGTCTGCATTTCTGAAAATTCACTTGTGGTTTTCCAGGTTGTGAAATGAGATCCCCTTAGAACACCAGTGCCCGGTCACGCAGGCTCCTGTGTGTGCTTTCTGTTTTCAAGGTGGCACGACAGGGCCTGGCACCTTCTCACTGTCTGATTGTCTGGCTCAACCCTGGGGCCTTCCTGCAGTTGCCGGTAGACGGCAGCACTGTCTCCATCACAGGCCTGGTCGAGTTCTGTACCCTGTCCCCACCTGGGCAACTCGGGCACAACAGCCACTCCAGGTGGGTGGGTCTCACCACCTCAGTCAGGCGTCACCTCTGATCCTGGCTGGTCTCGGTTGTCCTAGATGGCGGCTCACCTGGTGCTCAGCGGCCTGTCCTACAGCCCCCTCTTCCTCTTCTGTCAGGCACACTGACTCCTCTGCTTTGCGGGTTCCCTTAGTGGTCCAGGTGCTGTGGTTTGCCTTGATTCTCCTTTGACTTGCTGAGTCCCCCGTCCTCTCCGTGATGGCAGGGGTGATCTTTCTGATGTGGCTCCTTCCAATAAGTTTACGTTTTTTTATTCCACAGACACAAGTGGTCTCCACTGGTCTGTGTCCAGAACCACAGGTCAATAGATGCTGGCCCTGCTAGAGAAGACCGCCTGTCCCTCCTGTGCCTGTGGATTAGCGTGAGCCCACAGCACCTAGTAGCAGGGACGAGCAGGTGTTCTGGTGGCCATGCATAGCGCCCCCTTCAGTTGTGAGTGGACAGATGATTGAGAGCCAGAGAGCTCAGGGCTGCTCACAAGGTCCGACAGCCCTTCCCCACCACACTTCTTCCTGGTTCGCCTCCCATAAGCATTCTGCTAATAAGGGTAGACAATAAAACCCAGTTTTCTCATGTTGCGATAAACAAGGGTGATTCTGTCAAAATAGCAATGCTGAAAATAATAATGGATCAAAGCACCCACCTAGTGCTGCTGCCTGCCCACTGGAAAGAATCTGGTACAAATGCCTGAGGTTGGTGAGTCTCCTTCACACTCCCAAGTCTCCTTCCAGCAACCGGTCAGCCAAAAGCCATGGCCACAGCCCACCCTGATGCAGCCTTGGGACAGTAGCTGTGCCCCCACCTCCAGGCTCCCCGTGAGGGGACATGAGTCAGGGGAGAGGAGCCCCGACCCTCTCCACAGATAAGTGTGTGATGGGACATGTGGTATTTCCAGCTGGCCTGTGGTTTGTTGACAGAGCACAACCTGGTAGAAACGGATTACCAGGTCAGCCTGTAACTACTCGGGTGGTACATTTTAATTGTCCCAAGGATGTGGCGGCTGCTGTGAGGTAGGGCCTGGCAGCAGTTGGGAAGGTGCGTTTGGCCAGCGGTAAGTTTGAAGGAAGGCTGATAAGTGACCTGAGCTTGTTGGGCCCCTGGTGCATTCCAAGTCCACCTGCTGAGTCCCCAGGGTTTTTGGTATGCACCAAGCCACAGTATTTCTCCAGGCGGGGACAGAGAGGACCTGTCCTGGCCAGCTGCAGGCCGCTGTCTTTGAAGGTCTTGTTGCAGAGGGGGTGGTGGAAACAGAAAGACAGCTGCCACGGAAAGACCCACCCTGGAAATCTTAGCAGGGCTCCTGCAGGGGCCAGTGAATGGGTGGCACGCATGCAGAAGCACAGGGCCCAGGGGAACTGCACCTCACTTTCTAGTGACATCTTTCCAATAGAAAATAAGCAGTAAGTTGTTTGTAAAAAGAGTAAGTATCCTTTTCCCTGGGAAAAGTCAGTCTGTGAGACTGAGTTGCTTTTGTGATCCAGTTTGAATTCTGTTATTTCGTTTTTGGGGAAGCAGGTGGTACTGGGGATTGAACTTAGGGATACTCAACCACTGAGCCACACCCCCAGCCCAATTTTGTATTTTATGTAAAGACAGGGTCTCACGAGTTGCTTAGGGCCTCGCTTTTTCTGAGACTGGCTTTGAACTCACTATCCTCCTGCCTCAGCCTCCTGAGCTACTGAGATTATTCTCTTATTTCTAAGGCACAATTTCTCTCCATATTTTAGCATTTATGAGTCAGATTGTGTCCTGCCATTGAAGTCATTTTAGATTCAGTGATGTACACTGTTTCTATTTATTTGTTTATTTTGTGTTAGTGCGGGTGCTGGGGCTCAAAGTTGGGGCCTTGAGCATGCGAGGCAAGCTTCTTAGCATGAGCCACATCCCCAGCCCCTTTTAATGGTCTTCATAACTAGTAATTCCTTAAGCACATTGTGTGAACCATCCAAATGAAGCATTGTGTTCTCGAAATTAAAGCCAGCTGTGCATATTCTACCAGAGCTGTAAGAATACTTGTTGGTGGCTCCCGCAGAACGCAGGTCAGTTACCACCGCTGCACAGGCCCGGCCTGGGGCTGGAGCACCATGATTGGAGAGCCAGGCAGCCCTACGAAGGTGCCTGGGAAGCCATTGAGTTTATGGTTCTGACCCACCTGCTGGGACAGATGACGACATTCAGATCCCCTGAGAGTGTCAAAAACGAAACCTCATAGACAGCCGAGTCAGTCAGGATCCTGGGGGCAGATACAAGGCCCCCCGCTGGTCACTGCGGAGTTACCCTGGGAGCTGTCTGCAGAGGTGTGGGGGAGCTGGGCAAGGAGGGACACGGTCCTGCAGGTGAACAGGGCAGCACCCTAGCTCCTCCTGTCCTCTGTCTACTCGGCCCCTCCTCACCAAATCCAACCAGAAGCCAAGCCATGAGAGCCACAGATGCTGGCCACGTGGGTCTACCCCGGGAGGCCTTTTGCACATCCCTGAGGAAATCAGGCCAGTGACTGCTGCTCAGCTTTCACAAGCACCAGAGACTGGAGGACTCTCAAGGGAAGGGGTGCTTCCGATTCAGTGATGTACACCATTTCTATTTATTTTGTGTTTGTGGGGGTGCTGGGGCTCAAAGTTGGGGCCTTGAGCATGCGAGGCAAGCGCTCTACCATGGAGCCACATCCCCAGCCCCTTTTAGTGTCTCCAGAGAAGGTCTGGAAGTCTGCCCAGGGAAGGGGTGTGCTGTCCACTGGGGCTCCTGGTGCCATTGTGGCTTCCCACGTGGACCTCAGTGCCGTCCCCAACTACACGAGGTAAGGAGCCTCTGCACAGGCATCCTGGCTCCTGGAGGAGGTACAGCCAGCTGTCTCTTACCTTCTATGTGCCCACTCAGAAAGCGAAGGCTGAGCATCGTCCCCCCTTGTGCCGCGTCCACCCCAGAGATCCCGTCCACCAGGGCTGCGCATGGCAGGTGGGAACTGGGGTTCCTTCCAGCGAGGGGCTCATGGCACTGGCTCTCACGTAGTCCCCTAGTGTGGCTCATCTCTACTGAAGGCTAGGAATTGAATTCCGCACCACGTGGCCCCAGAGGCCTACTGTGCTCCACGTAAACAGCCGTTTCTTCTGTCTACAATGTTAAGGGAATTGGGTGAGTCTAGAAAACTCCGCGAGCAGAGGCAATGGCTGAAGGACTCCTCATCTTTGTAAGGAGTCCTTACAAAGGACCTGACCAATTCACAGCTGACCATGAGCAGAGGGTGCGTGGATGAGCCCCCCTTCCCTGGGCTCCTGGGTAACCACGATGGTGTAAGGAGTCCTATGGTGTAGAGGTGACCTGGCCTGCGGGGAAGGCTCTGGGGGTGAGGACAAAGCTACTTCCTGACTGGGACACCCTGTGCCCTTTACTACCACAGGCCTCAGAACTGTGGGGGCATGCTCAGTGCCCCCCACCCAAGTCCTGAGGCTGCTGGCCTGGGCGGTAAGGGGTGCAGGCACATAGGGACCACTGTACAGTTCTCCATGAGGCACGCGCCCCCCCGCCCACCTGCCAGGAGCCTCCCCAAGTTCGGATCTGTTCTTCCGTTCTCCGTAAGCCTATGAGAGTTTCACAGACACTTTGCTCTATCATAATGTCGGGCAATTCTGTGCTGTTTTTATTCAGGAAAACTCGACCAGAGGTTAACGTCCTGTCAGTAGTTCGGCTGCCAAAATCTGAGCAAGACAGAGGGTTTGGTGGTCTCACTTTCAATTAATTTTTCAGTGTTTTCCTTTTCAAACGTGGAGAATTTTAAAGTTGTGTTTATTGAGAGCATCGGGGACAGGGCCCTTTCCCACTGATGGCAAAGTGGGGCAGCCCTTTTGGAAGCAGCGTCCGTAGCCTCACCACAAAACCCTGAGGGGAAGAGTGATGTCCCCACACAGCTTCTGCTTGTGCCCATCTCGAAGACCACCGAGAACACCGGCATGAATGCCAGGCAGATCCTCGACTTTGAGTTGGATCAGAGGTGGTGGGGATTATTGAGTACAGTAAAGAAAATGTGGGTCATTCAGATCCAGTGATCGTGGGCCAGAGAAGGTGGGTTCAGATGATCCTGGGGAGGGCAGCGATGGGGACCGGGGCTGGTCCCGAGAGACCCTGAGTGGGAGAAGAGAGCAACGGGGGACTAAGGGCATGGGGCCTGCCAAGTGTGCAGAAGACAGAAGTCCCACCAAGCGTGTGAGGTCCGGCCTTGGCTTGTCCTGGGTGGCCCAGCTGGCTTCAGTGGGACCCATGGGCAGAAGCTTCATGGAGATGGATTTGCTTTCCATAATAAAAGAAAACTAAGAGCCCAGCTGTGCTGAGACCCCGGCCCTGCAGCAGACGCAGCACTGTCTGCCCGCCCTGCAGGAACGGGTGACACAGGGTGCTTGTGCCGTGGTTCTGGGCCCTGGCTGGCACTGGGCTGAAGTGTGGGTGCTGGGGAAGGCCCTTGGGTGTGGGGATTTTCCAGGTCTTTAGGGGCTTGTTGTCACCAGACACTGCACTTCCTGGGCGTCTTCTTATCCAGGGTCCGGGGTGAGCCTGTCATTGCTGAGATGAAGCCACGGTCTCTGCCGTCGCCTTCCGTGGCCCCAGATCTCGTGGTTCTGTTAGTTTGGTAACATTCATGCAAGTTTGCATCAAGTGCTAATTTCCCTGTTTCCCCAGT